TGAGATTTATCAGCTTGTAAAAGTTCGTAATTGGCATGACTACAAATCAGACATCAGCATGTTGCATATGCGACATCACATAATCTCTCCCGTAGCGTAGCTGCTACTTACCAAATGGCCAGATTTATGGTGGTTTTTTTCATCCTGAAGGAAGGATTTCAAGTATTTTCACACAAAACCTAAAATAACGCCCCCCCCCCCCCCCCCACCCCCCACCCCCCGTTCGAAAATAAGCGCGTTCTTGGTATCAAAATGCGTATTTAAAATTCTAATTTCACATCATATGTGAAATCCATGCCATAAAAACAAGCGGAATTAGAAAATAGCATTTTAGCCCCATTGACTTGCAATCAGATATTCATTTTTCTGGGGACCCATGGTCCGGAAGTAGATGGGCGTGACTTAGGCTCCCTACTTACACTGTGATGTGCAATTGACTAGCTCTTCTAATCCAAGCGTTTCCCTGTCTATTTTCTATTGGCGGCTAATGCAGGAAATAAAGCTAGAAGACTATGTTCATGTTTAGCCTGCATGTGAAACTCGAGTGACCGATCATATTTGACAAATACTGAGTAAAAACTGTTTCTCAGTGAACTTGATCTTTAATCAATATTTCCTAACTTAATCTTAAAAGAGCAAGTCACTCCAAATCACCATTTTTTGCTGATAAACTATATAAATGAGTGTCCAATTGTGCTGTAGACAAATTTAGTCAATAATTCGGCATTTTAGTGCATCTTAGTTAGAATTTAAATGTTCTGCCCAAAACTGTCAGCGATGCACCGTCGTCAGGCAAAAACTCAGCACTGCATTTGAATTTAAAGAGCAAGTCACCCCCTACCAGAGTCTAACTCCACTCCCACTTCATGTTTGAAAAAGGCAACAAATGCTGTTGCCAGGCAGACCAAGAGGGCGGAGCCGCTAACAAATACACACACACATGCAGGCTCAGGACAGCATTGTGACATCATAATGTACCAGTTTACATCATAGCATACCTCTTAGCCAATAGCAGTGGCAGACTTAAATTCAAATGCAGAGCAGATTTTTTTACCTGACGACGGCACAACACTGACAGTTTTAGGCAGAATACTTAAATTTTAACTAAGATGCACTGAAGTACCAAATTATTGACCACACGTGTCTGCAGCACAATTAGACACAAATTTATATAGTTTATCACCCAAAAAAAAAAGTTGATTTGGGGGTGACTTGCTCTTTAAATCTGCCATCGCTATTGGCTAAGAGGTACACTATGATGTTAGATGGTACATTATGATGTCACAATGTAGTGAGTGTGTGTATTTGTTAGAGGCTCCGCCCTCTCGGTCTGCTAGGCAACAGCATTTGTTGCATTTTTCAAACAGGAAGTGGGAGTTGAGTAAGAATCTGGCAGGGGGTGACTTGCTCTTTAATATATTTTCCATGTTGTTTACTTTAAAATGAGCGTGTAGGAAGCATCCCAGAATTCAAACTCCTAAAATAGCTGAGGTTTACAGAAACATCATACACCAACAAAGGACCTCATTAAACAGGCAGGGACAATAAAAATAGTAAGGATTAGCCAACAGCTGCTGCGTACCCACACACGACCCTGCTATGATGAGATACCTTGGGTGTGCTGGAGAACACTTCCGTGCCTCCAAGGCCATGAGTGCATGGCGGGTGGGAGCGATGTCGTGACTCCTCACAATAGCAGAGGTTGCCTTGCTCCGACAGCTACACTGAGGATAAAGAAGCGGGATTGCTGTGAGTGCCATTCATTCTGTGGCCTTCCATTCATGTCCTGCCATCTGAGACCAGAGCCTGTTGCTGAGAAGATAGACAGAGTGAGCAGAAACACTAAACAGAGGTTGAGCTCTTGGGCTTTGAAGGCTGTGATGGACACATGGCTACAGCAGTGCTCTTATCTGGAGTGGGACGCCGAGTGGCCACAGTCGCCTTCAGCAAAGGCAGGATACCTCTGGGTCCTCAAGTGCAGAGATTTATGACAGCAGCGAGCGTGTGCTGCAGAGGTTGGGTGCGTTCTCTACACAAGGAACACAAGCGTTTAACAACCTCATAAAATCCTCACGAGTGATTGTTGTCTTCCGGTTAATTGATCTGAACCTTGTTGGGAAGATCCTGACCCCAGCGTGCTGAGAGAGTAAGAATAGTCTCAGAATTGTGACACCTCCTCAGCTCACTGCATGCTGAGGAGATAATGCACACATCAATCAAGATGACATGAACTCAGCAGTGAGGTGATGACAGGAGGGGGGGGGGGGTGAGCTGTAGGACCAGGTGGTTCGGCTATTCTAGGACAATCGGACCACCTGGAACTCTAGTCTGTAACTCGCCTCTTTTGACTCACCTTTTTGATACACGGTATTTTAACCCTTTTTTGTGAGGCCTTATTTTAAAACCTGGCACTGGCCAATCTCTGACTGTGCACAGTCCTGTGACACGTCCCTAAAAATAGTTCCCACTAATCCTCAGGTCCCCTCTGAGAAGTGCCGCACATTACCAGGGATCGCCTGGCTGCACGACTGCTGCAACACAGCAGTCGTTTCACCGTTGGGTTGTAACGAACTTTAAAGTGAGATTACAGGAGAAAAAAAGTCACAGTACATCACCTCCACTGGTGTGGCGCAACACCCCCTTGTGGGATGAATAAATACAGCTTCCTACAATCCGAGTCATGTGGAACACCACAGGTCTGTTTACATTGTAAACACAAACTAAAGCTTTGAAAGCATTCTAGTAAAGAAAACAAGTCTTAATGTTAAGGTTGTTTGATTTTTGGGACAAATAGTAGCATTTTTCCATGAAAAACAAACAAGTTTTCCAAAGTGAGGCCACAGGGGCCATTTGTGGCCTCCAGCTGCAGTTCTACACTGTATAAGTACATTTAGCCACTTAAAAGTACAAAGACATCGTTCCACAAATGTGGAATGACCTTCCAAGCACTACCAGAACTGCGGCTCCCTTTTCAGTTTTCAAGAAACTCCTGAAGACCCTGCTCTTCAGAGAGCATCTTCTAAACGAGCACCCTCCCTGCACCCGTCCCCCTTCTCTACCGTCCACTCCTTGTTCCCTCCTCTCCATGCTTGATGTCAAGTTGTTGTTGTTGTTAGCCTCAAGGGCCACATGCCGATTATCACTTGTAAGTCGCTTTGGACAAAAGCGTCTGCTAAATACATAAAGTAAAATGTACTTACATGCTAGTTACAATAGACAAAAATGACTAAGAAATTTGCTTACTGCTTAAGTACCGGTATATACACAACTCAGAAATACACGTTCATAGGGATACTCTGATCTGATCATGTGATTTTAAAAAGATTAGAATCGGATGAAAAAGATTGAAATTTACCAAAGACAACTTAGATGTGTTTTTTTTTCTTTTCTTATTTTAATGCTTTCATGGAAAATATCAAATCGGGACTCAGAATCGGCAGATATTCAAATTCAAATGACTCTGAATTGAATTGGGGCATAAAACATGATCGAAACATTTCTACAAGTTTAAAAAGCTAATTTCCAACTACTGGTTCATCTTAGCTGTGGTAACTTGCCCGTAAGTGCAGTTTAATTTGTACACATTAGTGGCTCGAACACATACTTATCTACTGCTGTTTATACTTATTTTAACTGTAGAATGGAATTACTCCAGCCATCCAGTTAATGCAGTATGGTAGCCATTTTTGAGCAGTGTAATTGGACTAGGCCAGGGCAATAATTCAGTAACAATGTATGTATATATGTATCGATAGACATGTAGTGCAATAGAAAAAAATTGGGTCTATAAAAAGCTCCCTTTCCTTTTCATTATATCCTATCGTGTAGCTTATTATAGTCATCGTTACTTACTCCCAGCCACTAAAAAGCATGTAACCAGTCACCTCTCTTGAACTGAGAGGCAGAGGAAATTGTCCTGAAAAAGGGTTACAGTAGTTCAGTGGCGAGATCTTTTTTTTTACCAGTCTGACAAAAACAAACAGTTGTTTGCTAAATTTTCAGAGAGCAAAGCCTACTTGTCTCATCATAAAGTAATGACATAAAATGATAAGGGCTGCACTTCAAATATATTTTCTACAATTTATATAGTCATCAATTATTACAGATATCACTCAATATGAAAAAAAATTGTATCGACGTGATTTTATTTAACATCGTCCCACCCTAATTTGGACACCCCGGTTCTAGTTTCGTGAAATCTTAATCGTCATTAATTCTTAAAAAATCTTAATTCAGGGTTTTAGTTTTTAGTAAAAACAATTCTATTCAAAACCTTTTTACACATTTCTTATATTTTAGGCCAGTTAAATAAAAAACTAAATTTGTCGAGGGGCACTCTGAGGCAGCGTTGCACAGATAAAAACAAATAAAAACAAGTAGAGGGAGTGGGTTTTCTGATGCACGGTCACTAAATCTTCCATAACCCGCTGGGATTTAAGACGCCGTCCCAACAGGACAAACTGTGAACAGGCTATAGACCTTCAATCAACAGGGCTTCACTGCAGGGATATTTGACAGCAGCATTGAGACATTTATATCACGCCAGTTCTGCATGATTATCAGCAAGGCATGTCTTCGCGTTTGGTTGAAGCGAAACATAAATCGTGTCTTCAGCTGCCTAGCGGACTGGAAACCATGTGCTAGGCCTGCCAGTGGTCACGGAAATAAAGGAAAAGGGGAGGGGGGGGGAGGGGCTGCAGCTTGTGTGGCATGCACACCCTGTAGAGATCCTTTAAAAGGAAACCCAAACTTTAACGGACAGCTGAGCCAACTCGTGTGTCTCTTTCATCAAATCTAACGTTGTCCGGCTCCCTACGGCTAGCGTGCGTCTTGTAAGCTTTTCCCCTAAAAGGCAACGTGCTGCTGAGCCACCGGAATAAACAAAGAACAAAATATTCCCAAACTGGTAAATTGAAAACAAATGATAAGTTTTCCTTTTTTGTGTGTGTGGTAGATTCTAAAATCAAAGATTTGTAAACAAGAGGAAAAATCAAACAAGATGATTGTTTGTCTTTAATAAGACTTGAGATAATCTCACTGATCTTACAATGCACATCAAAATATATTTATAGCATTTACACGCAAAAGCATTTCAAACACCTACAAGTCCATGAAATCTTACTGCACATGAACATTGAATAGTGCTTGTGAAGAACAATAGCCACAACTGGTGAGCAGGAGGATTATTTCTGGTTTTAAAGGTGACCAAATTCATTAGTACATCCAAGTTTAGCTTACAGTCAGAGCTAAGACGCTAAAAACAAGCAGAATGTTTACACACACAGAAAAAGAAGCCTTTTTTTTCTTTACCAACTGGCAGTTTCAGTTTAGCTTCCTGGAACTTTACAAACCCAATTACAGGTATTTTACACAAACCAGGATGTATAAAACCCAGGTTTTAGTTAGATCTACTCACAGCAGAGCCGCACTGCCTTTCATAGAGTGTGCAGCTACAGACTGGTTCATTTACAATATTCACAAACATGTCCAGTCTTAAAAGCACTCTCAGTTAAATAACTAAAAAAAAACAACTATTTATCAGCTGAACTGTGACGGTGATGTTTATTTAAGAGGCGTGCTGCTTCAGTGCCACAACGATCTTCAAAAACAATAACACTGATGCATTGAGCTGGATGAAGCAACACATTCTCGTCCCGTCTGTCACTTGCGTCATGATCAGACCTCTTCGTCTGCGTCCCGTGTCCCCTCGAGAGCGGCGTGTTTGCTTTCGGAAGAATAGACGAAGATGCACGATTGGCACAGGTCACAGGGCTCGCTGTGCGAGCGTTGGCAGGGCTAGGGGACGTCTAAGGCCAACGAGTCCTTCAACACCAGAATACATCACAGGACTTCTGCAAAGGGCAAAGGGTTAAAGGTCAGGAAAGGCAGAACTAAGAGATTTATTATCACATACTAACAGAGGCTCATTTGTAGACAAAAAGAAAAAGGTCAGTATCGTTGAACTGAGAAACGACGCAGTCTGAAAACCTCAGAACTGTTGACAATACCAAATGCAAAACATGCCGCACATGGCAAGAGGTCATAAATCTCCATGACCTCGGTCACAAAGACCAAATGATGACAGTAAGACTGAAAGTCAGAAACCGATAGAATCGAACGTCGCAAACGTGTAAAGATGATCTTAAGCTGCTTTTAAACACCAGAGGGCTGGAAGGGTCGTACTTTCGCTAACATACCCTGGAGTATCATTAAATCAGTCTGAAACATGAACGCTGCCAGGTCACTCATCTTACATATCCAGATTTATGAGAGAAGTTGAGAAGCCGGTATGTTTGGGTTTCATGGTGGGGGTTACAGAAAGAGAAAGGTAAAACTGAAATAGAGACAGAACAATATTCATTCCAAAACAGATGTGCTAGCAAAGAAATGTCTAGTATTTAGGATTGCTCGCTTGTTATCAAAGCAACAGGTGAAAGTCAAAATCTTTCAAATGGCTGGATAGGTGCTGCTGACACTGCTGCTGGGATGGAGATGAGTGCAGCATTGCAGAGGACGTAATTGCTTTGGGGTCCGGTTTCAAACCCTGGGCAGGGAAGCACTTGTGAACCGGGGCTCCTTGTCGCCTCTGGAATTCCTAACTGGGTCCGATCCCGAGTCAGTGGAGCTGGTGAATAAAGCTGTCAACAGTATCGAGATACCGAGCTTCTTCTCGACCTTTCCTACAGTATTGCTTCCATCTCTGTCCTTTTTTTAGTGTAAGTGAACTCTTCATGCCACACCTTCCTCTCCTCAGAGGACTTCTCGCTTTCACAGAGGTGATGACCTGCACACTTGATTGAGTACAGGCTGAAGTTCACAGTTGCTTTACGGAAAGGGCGACGTACCTTTACCTAAAGACAACACCTGCTTTCATTTCCTATCATTTCCTCTTGAAGTGACAGCAGACAAGGCATGGAACATCTGCAATCACCTGGTTGTAGCTCTGCTACACGGTCTGTAGCTGCTTTTACAAAGTCTCCAAATTAGGTATGATTTATTATATGTATTGTACAGTACTGCAGAAATAGCAGCTTAATGACTTAGCTTAGCATAGAGACTCTTTAACTTCTCTTAATCAGTATAGCTTTATCCCGAGGTACAAAAATAAACTTTTGCTATAGGCATTTACATATTAGAAGCTATGATTCTTGTGATTCCAAAAATATGCCAATAAAGAAGTCAGCCACAACCATAGACGGGAAACGACTATGTCAAATCATTCATCAATTCAAAATAATATCTAACTCACCATTAAAAGCTTCTTATCATTGACTGAATAACAAATACTCCACAAGGGTCTAATAAAAGTACTTCAATAAAATAATTAGTCCACAACAAGTCTTACGTCCACAATTCAACATAACATACTCTTAAAACATTCAAAATTTCTGTCAAATGTGCGTTTTTCTCAGCATAACCTCCATTAGCATCCTCATGTTAGCTTCAAACTTTTGATCAACGACTTACCTGATCCATCAGGTGAAGGGTTACCCCCTCTACTGAGGAAAACTCTTCAACTATTGGCTGTAGCTACCAATCGCAGTATATTGTTGACTGGCACATCAAATAGCGAATGAAACTCGAAAAATAAATGATCTCACGCATTAGGGACCCTCGTGGTCGGTTACAGCAAACCCAGTAAGTACGATTGTGATTGGTGCAGTGAGCGTCAGGTCCACCAAACTTCTAAACTGTGAAAATGCCCATCGTCAGTTTTTGGACTGACAAAAATCTCTGAAGTCTGAGTCATGCTTCGGCGTCAGCTCCACAAGGGACAGACACTCACGGAGCGACGGAAGCGTTTTGCTCTCATACTTCCCCGTTTGCTGAAGGGGTGTTGCAAAGCAGTTCTCCGCCAGGACAACAGAAGGCGTAGCGTAGGTAGCAGTACAGTGACGTCTAACTATTCCCTTGGAAATCACTTCCGCGGTCTGAAAAATGGCAAGCAACACGAGAAAGAGAAGTTTGATCGAGTTGGAACTGTGTGATCTAGACGAAGAAATGCATATCTTGCTGAAATACCAGCAAGAGCATAAAAGGAGACAGCGACGTTGGTGGGATGTCCGTCCGCTTAACGGGTCTAGGCAGACAACAGGCGAATTTTCAGGACTTGTGCAACCTTTGAGGAAGTGATCTCAGGTTTCTGGACCAACCAATCACAAGCATGCATTCTCCGTCTTGTTCGACGGATGTTAAGAAAAGTGGGCTCAGCTCCGTACGTACTTGCATGCCTGCCGGGGGGCCTACGCAAGGACGGATAATGGCGTTGCGCGTCTCTGCACTGACGCAGAAGCATGACTCAGGCTTTAGGAATACTTTATACATCAGCCAACCTTACAGACTATATGGTCATCATGTGCGTTCACTAGATAATCAGAAGGGGAAGACTGGGTCAAAGGTCGGCAGAATTATTTTTCCGCATGAACTGGGCCTAAGTCTAGAAAGTTTCACACCTACCCAAAAAAAAAAAATACCCCAAAGGTTCACAACCAGATCTGACAAAAGTCAGAGGTGAAAGGTCACTAGTGTAGATGTGTGACTACCAACATAAACTATCTGCATTATACCTGTACGGAATATGTTTGTGTCACCTTTCCTTCACACAAGAGTACATCTTTAGTCCACATTTGTCTGTTTTTGTTTTTCACTGGAGTTTACGAGTATAAAACTAAGCAGAATTCAAAGCTATTCATGCTCCATTAGCATGTATGACTGGTGCTCCAACACTATAAATTGTAGTACAGGACGTATTTGTTAGCTATTATTTAAGCAGAAATTCTATTTTGGATAAAGACAGTTATTAAACAACCACCTCTTTATTCACCCCTTAGCCAGTTTCAAGTTCGAGCATACATGAACGATACATATTTGCTCAGTCTCACCATATATGGTCAAAATGGCATGTCTTGTGAAAGTAAACACATTTTAATTAGTTTCAAACACCTTGAAACCTCCATTATTAATGTTTATGTGTTGTGTACCTGCAACATGCTGAGGCTTCATGGGGCCTGCTTTTTTCATAAAAGTCTCCTCACTCTCAAAAGAGAGGATGGGCTCGCTGCCCACGCTCGTCTCACAGTTGTCTCCCTTAGTGGTGTTGCCCTGATTTGTGAGGTGGACAAAGTTGTTAAAATGGGCGGCGTCTCCTTTAGTGGACAGGCCGTTTTCATGTCTCGTGGGCTGGACTCCATTTACCAGCGAGAGGCTGCTTGGGATGGAAACACAGCAAAGAACATGGTTAGAGTTAGGATTGGTCATAGTGGCTCAGAACAGATGATTCATTTCACCACTGGCCAATTACAGGAGGTCCGAAACTAACAAAGAGCAAACTATTTTCAAAAGAACAAAGCTTTCTCTCTTGTTTACGAGTGCTTACAGTGGGCTAGATCCCTGTGGCTCCTTGTGTTTTTCATAAAAACATTTCCTGCTAAGTTGACTGACAGTCAACTCCCCACTTTTTCTGCCACGAACGTTTTACACGTTTTGTGGTGCTCTTTCATCAAAGTGAGCATAAACAAGACTGGAGCTTTGGTTTTACCTTTCTTTGATACCAGCTTGTCCATTTTCAGTCTTGGTATTTGGCAGGCTGATGTCCGGTTTTGGCTGAGAGTCAGCAGAGTCTAGAGTAAAAACGTAAACAGTTCAACATCTCATCCCGCTGGTCACCCACAGAACGACAGACTTCATTAAAAATGCTTAGTCTTTTACAGCTCAGTGGTTTTCCTTTTCTGAAAGATTTTTTTTTTGCTCCTTTTACGCAATACAGACAGAACTTTTAAAGGTCTCATTCACTAGTTTTTGTTTTCTAGACATTTGCTGTGGTCCCCATTATGAACGAATGTCTTGTTAGCCGTTTTCTGTGGGGAAAACACTCTGGCGCTCCTGTTTCAGAGGGTAGAGATTAGTCAGAGGAGTGGGGGATGGTAAACAACAGGGTTAAAAGTCTTACTCATTTAAATTAATGACCTGCAAATGTCTCGTCTCTGATTGGCTAACAGCAACGCGACTCTACCGCTACCTTCATTGATAAAACTCAGAAGACATATTTTCTTGGGTAAAAAGGCAACACTGATGTTTTATCTCCACAAATAAAATCCTGAAGGAGTTCTGCCAGGTTGTGGAGTTGCTAATGCTAATGGTTAGCTTCTACTACCCGAGAAGTGCTCTGCTCTCTCCTGGATGCTAAATAAGCATCAGCTTTCTGCAGCTACAAGCCAAGAGGGGTGAGTCCATGAATGCTAGGGTTGGATATTGAGAGGGTTTTATTTGATGCTGGAGCCAAACTAAATCATTTCAAGATGGCACTGGATCCTAAAAGGTATTTAAATTGTCCACAGGGACAACACAAACACTCAAATCTTTGGTGCAAAAATGGAGAAGGTTCTTCTAAGAATTCTTAGACAATGTAGTGAGGACTGTCCAGATCTTTGCGTTGGGGAAAATAAACAATAATTACACAAGAGCACAGCACAACACAGGAGAGCCACCTCTTCAGGCCAAGGGACACACATTTGAAAATGAAAAAGTACACATTCTGGACAGAGAAGATAGATGTTTGAGAGAGGAGTAAAGGAAGCTATCTATGTCAAACGTGAAAAAGCCACTTTAAATGGGGGGAAGGGGGGCTTAGATTTCACCTTTCCAGCACCTATAATGCAGCTTTGAATCTCATTCCTTAGGAGTTTCAGGCCCTGTCCACACGTAGCCGGGGATCTGCCAAAACATAGATATTTTTCTACGTTTTGGCCTGTCATCCACACGAAAACGGAGTTTTTTCACACGAAAACGGATCTTTTTAAAAACTCCAGCCAAAGTGAAGATCTGCGTTTTCTCCGTTTTGGGTGTCTGCGTGTGGACGGACAAAACCAGAGTTTTAAGGTCCGCAACGTCACTTTCCGCGACAAAAAATGCTGACATCACGTGTGCGACCTGTCTTTACACTAGCCGACAGCATGGATGCCCTCAGAGCTGCGCTCACTTTAGCAATTGTCCAAGCGCTTTTTGCTTGTTTGTTTTTGCAAGCAGAATTACTGCTCCTTGTGGAAGACCACAGACGAAGGACGAGGTTAAGAACGGGGGAAGTACTGCCGCCTACAGGTCTGGCATGTCCTTAACAACGTATTTATCCGGGTACGTGTGGACAGAGTTTTTTTTAAAACGAGGTGGTGTGGATGCAAGTTTTTGGAGGGGCGGATATTCGTTTTTTTTTTTTTTTTAAATGGCTACGTGTGGACTAGGCCTCAGTCTAGGTCACACCTTCCTGCATCTAATCAACACATCGACACCCTCTCAATAGAGGCCAACGACTCCTCAGGGGATGGAGAGGCGGGGTACCCAGAGTAGTTTCAGCTCGTTAAATATAAATAGACAGCTACAGCTTATAAGCTTGACTCTCCCATATTCCAGTCAGAATTGACAAATCTCCTCGAGTGACAAGCAAAACGTCTTCAAGAAGCCAAAGAAGTCCGGTTGCCTTCATTTGAAGCCTTTGGAAAACTACTATGTACATTGAAAATGAGTCCTAGCAATTTTTATTCAGAAAATTATGATATCACCAGTGTTGCCTTCTGCTGATGCAAACGGAGGAGGAAGGTTGTGGATTCAGCTGATAGATTTTTTTTTGCAGCCAAAGACGATGCATTCTTCTTCTACTTGCAAACCGACACCATGAACCATGAGGAGCTGTATTAAATTAATGGTGTAGCATATTTAGCACCACAAATCTTCACATTGATGCTACATTTGGTTTCTGTACTTAGCCGTAGTGAATATGAATATTTGCTGTGACGTAGAAGAAACAAGCTTTTTCTGACCTGGTTGTTTTCCCGTCTATTTCCTTTCTGCGGCTAAAGCAAGCGATGGGTGGTTGAAGAAAACTTTCACTTTCAGCATGCATAAGTGGCCAATCATACATAAAAAAACAAGCATTAAATGGTTCCTCAGTCAATGAGACTAAACAAATGTTCCCTTCAAAGGCCGTCTGAAAACTTGCCAGTTAGGCAAACACTGAGTTTAAAGTACTTTATCTGGACTATAAAACAGTACAAGCTGGATTTTACTACGACTGAATGGTTCCATCTCTTCTGTAGGGAACCTTTGGCCCTGCATGGAGCAGACCCCTAGCCCTCCGAGCTCTGCTAAGAACATGGTTGTGGTTTTCAGACCATCTCCACACTCCTGAATAAAACAGACCCATGCTTGCCAGGCCTCCAACCACATCAGCGCCTGGCAAACGTCTGCGTTGGAGAACTTTAAAAACAAACAGACCTCATTAATTCCCTTCATCTTACTCATCTATTTTTTTGCTAACAACACGTCTACATGAACTAAATCAGAGACTGAAGTGTTGCATAAATGTGAATCTTTACTTGTTTTCTTATTTTTATTACATCTATCAAAGATAAATGCTAAACTTCAGCTGGCTGTTGCTGTTAGCCCACTCATCCTTTCCCATCCCGGAGTCTGAGGGATTCAACAAGCACACATGGGTCCCATTGTCCAGAGAAGAACTGTTCCAGCTGCACAGGATATGAGGCAGAGATATAATCTAATAACCCTTTTATACAACAAGCTTCACCATGCATGCAAGGAGGAAGGCAGGAACAACAAACATGGCTGCCATTGTTTGGTGCCACACATGGGAGGACGTAAAGGACCCCGAAGCATATTTGATGTCATAAGCATGATCAACAGAACTGGGTCACCTGAATTAAGATGAGTCACAGCGCTGTTTAAACTTTATTAAGTGGATTCCACAAACCAGCTGGACAGAAAGCATCCTCTTGTTTTCAATCCAACCAGATGTCAGTGATAAGAGATCAATTAGGACAAACGGCTCTAATGATTTCAGCAGATTAAAGGTCGGCGGTAAACAGAGTCACAAACTAAAGGAGACAAACCCAGTTTACCTTTATCGCTCTCTGCCGGTTTGTCGTTGGTTGAGGAGGAATTGGTTTCCTTCTGTAAAAACGAGGTGATGGTCACTTAGAGGACTGTTGAGCCTTTGTAACAAACTGATGAGGACGCTTACCTTGTCACCTCCATCAGTTTTACGGGTCCTCTTCATGATCTGCTCCAGACGCTGACAATCAAATAAAAGTAAAAAAGTCAGAAAATTACACAAATACAACCACTGTTGAAGGAGCCGAGCCAGAAAGCAAGGCTCTCGATTTACCAGTCGATCTACCGCCCGCTCCTCACCTATGGTCACGAGCTTTGGGTGATGACCGAAAGAGCAAGATCGCAGATACAAGCGGCCAAAATGAGTTTTCTCCGCAGGGTGGCTGGACTCAGCCTTACCCCGGGTTTCCACGGGAGCCGTCAGCAGCACGTTACTGCAGCAGCACGTCTTGCTCGCGTAAGCTGCTGCTTGGCCCTTCCCACGAGATGCGAAGCAGCAGGGGAGCAGCTGTCACCGACCGAGCACGAAGTCACACGAGTGACTTCGTCAGTAAACACAACAACAAGCAGGAGAAAATTACAACATGGTTTGTGTTTTATGTTCTGTCCGTTTTATAATCGCCAATACGGACCTGAAAAACAAAGGAGACCGCTAGCTAGGTGATAACTTCTCACGGGGACGCACAGTTAGTAACAGTTTTTAAAAGTAAAGCAACCGGAAGGCAGTACGTTTTTTATTCTGAAAATCTCTGTAGCTTCTCTCCATTTCCGCGTCCGATTTCCTGTCTTTCCTTCCCCGAAAATGTCGAACTTGACCCGTTTCAGAGGCGTCGCGCGTAGAAAATAGAACCGGTGCATAAAGGCCGCGACATGCTGCTCCTGAGACGCGGCCGACTCGCGCTGCTACGGCTGCCGACGGCTCCAGTGGAAAAGGTTCTGTTGACCACAGCGGTTCCTATCAGCAGCTATGACGTGCTGCTGCAGTAACGTGCAGCTGACGGCTGCTGTGGAAAGCCGGAGTTAGGGATAGGGTGAGGGACTCGGACATTCGGGAGAGACTCTGAGTAGAGCCGCTGCTCCTCCATATCGAGAGGAGTCATTTGAGGTGCTTTGGGTGTGTTGTTAGGATGCCTCCTGGATGCCTCCCCAGGGAGGTGTTTTAGGCACGTCCTGCCAGCAGGAGGCCCCTTGGTCGACCCAGGACACGCTGGAGAAAGTACATCTCCAATCTGGCCCGGGAATGCCTTGGGAGTCCTACCAGAGGAGTTGGTGGAGGTGTCCGGGGAGAGGGCGGTCTGGAACTCCCTAGTTGGGATGCTGCCCCCGCGACACGAACCCGGATAGGCGGAAGAAAACGAGACGAGACCTAACGTGCTTTTATGGAAAAAGAGAACCAACAAAAATGACTATAAACTATATGGGTAGAAATTATGTTCGATATTATCGGCCGATGTTGGCCTCTAAGGTTATGTGCTGCCTTCAGTACATATCCCCACTGCGAGATCAATAAATCTATTGTCTGATATGATCAGTATCAGATGCACGTAAAAGTTGAAATATGACGGATCAGATTTAGTTTCTGAGATATTTTTGTTTGACACAACTTTTGAAGAAGTAGAAATGTGCTCCGAGTGGTGCGTGTTGGGCAGGATTATTTCAGGGAGAATGAGGTCGGCTATTGTTGAAGACAAAATGAACATGGCATGTTTTCCCTGGAGAGCCAGTATCCAGCACATTTAGTTTTAACCTGCTTCGGCACACCTGATTATAATTAGCAGGGTATTAACAGGTTCTGTAGAGCCTGGTGAGCTGCTGCACAGGTGATTCAACCACTGAATCAGGTGTGTTGGAGCAGAGAAACCACTAAAACGTGCTGGATAACGGCCCTCCAGGACCAGGATTGGGCACCCCTGGACTAACTTAAAGCTATTATCCAAAGTTTTCCCATTTTCAGAAAATATGTTTTTTTTAAATACATACGTGATATTTTAACTTTGTACTGTTATAATGTAATGGTAATTTATTCTTTTTGCCAAGCGCATTGATCAGAAACTATTGATGATGGATTGTAGGTAGTGAGTTTCAGTGAGTTTTGCAGCTGAGTAGAGCAGAGCAGAGCAGCCATGCTATAGACCGCTCTACTGGCTCATTTATGCCCTGACGTTTGTCACAAGATCCGGCCATCATCTGATGACTCGGTGAGACCAGGACTGCAGCTGCCACTCATAAAAAGAGAAGCATTTTTACATCCAAGTTTAATTCATGCAGGGATCGCACTCAGGACTTTGGTATCTAGTTTAGCAGTAAAACGTGCTTCCACTCCGCAAGACTTTCTGTTTGTTCGACAGGTTGCCCGGTCGAACCCTCGAGATACTTCAAACCACCTGTGAGCTTCATAAAGTCAGAGTGTCTGAAGCAGAGGATCTTTGTGGTAGGGAACATAACGTTCGGGCTGGCCAATTCCTGCGTCGTTGCCGGAGGAGCCAGGCCTGGCACAAGAAGATCCGATCCTTTCACACATGGTGAGGGAAAAACCAGAGGCTTCGCTGGCATACAGAGATCGGAGCCAACAACGGTGGAAGAATGACTCACATCCCAGTGAAGGAAAGCTGGAAGAATTAAATCCAGCTGCAACTTTTACTTTTGATGGATTCAGGGAGCAAAACTCTTTATATATATTTGCTCTAAAGTGACAATTAAAACGGAAACTATTCAGGAAAGTTACCAGTTACTCAAAATTAAAAGTTCTGGCTGTAATTCTGTCACATGTCCAATGATTTTAGCACATTAACATATTAATAACTGGGCTTATTTACATTTAGTACATTCTATTGATAAAAATACATTAGAGTTACAAATGCCGTCCCACAAGTATCATAAAACGTGTTCACAAATCCATTCAGATCAGACGGTAGCAGCTAGCTTGCCAGCATTAGCATTTAAAAATAGTCAAACACACACACACGCACGCACGCACACACACACACACACACACACACACACACACACACACACACACACACACACACACACACACACACACACACACACACACACACACACACACACACACACACACCGAGACCCATTAAATCATGATGTGCAGACGCTCCATCCAGGATAAGCCAAAAGCGTCACTCATCTTGGTCTCGGGGACGGGTTTTGTTGTGTCAGAGACGAACTGCAGAGGAAATGTAGCCGAGAGTAAAACTCCAACTCTAACAACTCAGAGACGACGGGGTCAGAACAAAGATGGGATTTGTTGTCTTTGAGGTGCAATAACCGATTAGGTTTGGGTTTAAAAAAAACAATAAACATGTCAGAAAAGTACAAACAGTTGTTTAAAGTGTTGTTAGTGAGGTTTTCTAGGAGCTTTAGTTGTTTTCCATATGAAGTCATTTGTGGTTTATTTTTCTCTTTTTTGTCATCACCATTATAGCTAATTTATATTACATGACATTTAATTTAATTATATAATATGTTTTAAAGAGAAAGAGGAAATGCACATAAAATGAATGCTTTTTGTTGCTTTCCCAGAAATCTTTGCATTTATTGATCTTGTTTGTTAAAACCCACAAATCTCCTTTTATGTTTTTAACGAGTGTTTTTAGAACCCAGCTGAAGGAAAGCTGATGGGTAGAACAGATGTATGGGTTCTACCTTTTTCCTCTCCAGTCTCTCCTGCTCCTCCTTCTGGAAGTGTTTCTCCCTCTCCAGGCGCTGCTTCTCCGCCTCCTCCCGGGCTTTAGCCTCCGCTTCTTCTTTCTGAAAAACGCACATGGGCGAGAGTCCAACCACAACTTGAGAGCAGGCAGACGGAGGGAAAAAAGCTGCAGCCAAAACAACATGCATTCATTTATTTATTTATTTATTACGTAACAAGGGTGTGGTTGCTGTCGTCCATTATTGTTTATAGCCTCAAACGGGCGATTTTCCTGTACCTGGGAACCAAAAAGGTCTATTTTTGTCTTTCACCTCGTCATGAGGACTTCTGATGGAAACAGCAGAATTCTGCTGGATCATGTTTAACCACAAACACCAATTCTATGAAAGACCACTAGGGGGCGGTAGAGCATTAAAACTCATGATGGACCCAGCTTGCAGCACTTCTGCAGACCACTTCCTGTCTGTCTGACTGACTGAACTGTGAGTGAATAATTGTGGATGGATTTTTTCACTGAAGTGAAACTCCTCCTGCGTTGACGGATTTATTGAAGTTACCTGCTTCTGCAGACGAAGACTTTCCTCCTGTTCAGCTTTGGCTCTCTCCTGAGCCTCCCTCTCCTCCTGAAGCCGCTGCTCTTCGTCTCTCTTCTTCTGCTCCTCGGCCATGATTCGGGCCTCCTCCTCCCTGCGCCGCCTCTCCTCTGCCTCCCTCGCTATTCGCTCCTCTCTCAGAATCCTAAACCGGATCGGATCAAAGAGGATCTGATCAGTTTCCAGACTGTAGATGAGGATTTTTGGTGAGAACAAGTTGCTTCCACAACATGCTGAACCGACCTCTCCTTCTCCTCTTGTTCGCGGCGCTCCTGCTCCTCCCTCTCCCTCTGCTCCCTGGCCTGTCTGCGTTTCTCTGCCAGTATGCGAGCAGCCTCCTCCGGGTCGTTGGTACCGGCCATGGGTTTGGCTGATGGAGAAGGTGACGGAGATGCTGCACGGGCGGTCGGAGTGGACAGCACAGGCTCGGACAGAGACGGAGCGGCATTGCCTGGGACTGGAACGCTGGAGACTGGAGCAGCGGAGGAAACTGCAATGGCTGGAGGTGCAGGAGAACCTGAGACAGAGGGGAAATAATTTTAACGATACATATGGAGCTTTATGTATAAGTAATTGCATTTATTTTCATTTTAAAATATTTCATTCAACCTTTTTTCTAAAAAAAAATAGCCTGGGAATTCAGTAACTCCACAATTGAAGCTAATTAGCTTCCCTTCTGATTTCTCTGTGAGAAAAGAGAAGAAGCCACAACACCACATGTGGCTCAGCGAGCTTTTCTGATTAAACCAGATGGTACCGTGTTTTCTGGACTATAAGTCGCACTTTTTTTTTCATAGTCTGGCCGGTCCTGCGACTTATATACCAAATTGTGTAGGCTATACCGCGCTGCTGCGGGCCGGCTACGGACCAGGAATGAGCTCCCCTGCCCCGCTGGGGAAAAAAAACGCACAGCCATCACCTGCTGGAGCCTGTTGCGCGCCGTTGCGCACTGAAGCCGGCCCAGGTTTTAGCTCCACTGTCCCGCCATCACCTGCTACAGCCTGTGGCGCGCTGCTGCGGGCCGGCTCTGACCCAGGAATGAGCTCACCTGTCCCACTGGGAGGGTTTCAAACACCGCCATCACATGCTGCAGCCTGTGACGCACTGCTGTGGGCCGCTTCGGACCAAGAATGAGCTCCCCTACCCCGCCATCACCTGCTGGAGACCGTTGTGCGCTGCTGCGGGCCGGCTCCGGTCCAGGTTTCAGCTCCTTTGCCCCGCTGCTGCAGCTTGTGTCGGGGTGCTGCGGGCGCTCTCCCCGCCCGCTGGGAGGGTTTGAAACACCACCATCCTCTGCTGCAGCCTGTGGCGCGCTGCTGCGCCCTGGTTGTTTATTCTGTTATTGTTACCGGTACTTGTCTTGCAATGTGAAACGCTTGGTCTCAGATTTTGTAAGAAAAATAATAAAATTTCCCCCCAAAATGCGACTTATATATGTTTTTTCTTCTTCATTATACATTTTATGGCTGGTGCGACTTATACTGCGGAAAATACGGTAATCGCTCCTCACTGCTTCTCGAAATAAATGCAGATTTTTCAGAGGACCAGACTCATTTTCCATCTGCTCCATAAAGCTGTTTAGACAGGAAGAGACATCAGTCTGACAAAGTAGGACAAAAATACAGTGACTAAACTCCCAGGAGGAAGCAGCACTACATCCAGATGTTTCAGATCTTATAGTTTAAAAAAATGTACAAAGAACTAACCAAAAATATAATTAGAACCACACAAATACAAAAAAAAAGCTCCTACATTAGAAAAAATAACTATTGGATCCTATAAAAGGCAGATAATTTGTTTTATTTTAACGCTACTCTTTTGCAGACTCACTCTTTCTCTCCTCTGGGGTGGCGGGCCTTCGAGGCTCCTTCACTCTCTCGAGGGGTGCGGGGGAGGCGGTCCGGGGGTCTATCCTAGCTGGAGTCCTGGCTCTTTTGGGTCGGGCCTTAGGAGTTGACGGGCTCCCGCGGGTTGATGGCGGTTTGGGGGAGGCGGCAGGACTGGGAGAGGTGGTTCTTCCTTTGGGCGTGGCCGGAGAAGCCCGCCGTTGTCTCGATAAAAGACTGGAAGGAGCGAAAAGAACGAGAGAAAACAGTGATAGTGATATAAAATCGTGTCACTTTAGAAACTGTTGGGTGTTTTTCTCAGTATTTAAAGCAGAGAAGGAAGAAATGGTAAATGGTAAATGGCCTGTATTTGATATAGCGCCTTCTAGAGTCCTGGAACCCCCCAAGGCGCTTTACAACACAATCAGTCATTCACCCATTCACACACACAGTCACACACTGGTGGGGATGAGCTACAATGTAGCCACAGCTGCCCTGGGGCGCACTGACAGAGGCGAGGCTGCCGAGCACCGGCGCCACCGGTCCCTCTGACCACCACCAGCAGGCAACGTGGGTTAAGTGTCTTGCCCAAAGACACAACGACAGCGACAGACTGAGCGGGTCTCGAACCTGCAACCTTCCGATTGCGAGGCGAGCACTTAACTCCTGTGCCACCGTCGCCCCAAATGTTTATTTATTTTTTCTTTTTTACCTTGGATCAGGTCGGTGTCTCATGCTGGGCAGAGACTGTCTCTTCTTCAGCACCTTCTCTTTAGTCATGGCACTTTTCTCCTTCTCGTTTTCCCGCTCTTTGTCTTTCTTTTCCTTCTTATTTTTATCCATCTGAAAATAAATATTTCTAATTATAATAAAGAAAAAAAAAACAATAAGTGTCCAATGAGTCCACTTATTAGTCTCGCTGTTGCCCTCCATTAACCCTGGACGATCATAATGTTTGCTACTTTTCACATTAAAAGCCTGGTAGACGTACGGGTGCGGAGCTGCGTCTGCGCTGAGTGATGTCCGGCGTGCTGGACGTCACCCTCCAGCGGTCGGAGCAGCGATGGTGGGGCTGGTGGGCACACAGGGTGAGGGGGCTGGCTGAAGCCGAACGAGGACAGAGAGCAGAGTCTGTACAGCAGAGTCAAACATTTAAAGCTGGAAAACATTTCTGTGTGCGTCTCGTTCAGTGTGCAGCATTCGTTTTAAGGTTACAGTCAACTTACGACCATCTTTGCCGTTGCTGAGGATGCTAGCAGCACTTCGGCTTCTGGCCAGGAAAGACAACGTTGGTGTCATCAGCCGGTCGACGATGCTGCTCTCCCACGGAGTCAGAGCAAGGCTGCGGGCTGCACGCGGACAAAAACACCCATTTTTTCATCTTAAATGAGTTTTAGACCGCATTTCTCACTGGTCACCCAACGCAACAGAGCATGTGAATAAAAGGACTTGCAACAAGAATAAAAGTCACTAACGTCTGAAAGTCACAAAGACCTGAAAGTTTAAAAATTTTCCAAACTGGGTCATAAAACGATTTATGTCTGCAGAACTGAGCGTATCATTTTGGGAAGCTGTTGTGTTGGGATAGAGAGAGAGAGAGAGAACAACAATAACCACATTTCTCTTCCAGAACATAACAAAAGAGCACCTTTTCAGAGAATGTTTAAGTAACATTAAAAAAATGAAGAAAAGAAAATCACCCACAAAACGTATCAAGTTCCCTCAAAAATGTCTTTTTTTTTTTTGCAGAGGTGCACACTGATCTGGGTGACCTTTATCCCTTTAAGATGTGCTTTCATCATGATGTGATGAGACAGAACACAGACGGACCAGCATGACTGTGCAAAAACACCAGGAGATAAATGTCAATCACCACACAATGAATCAACCAAAGGACAGTAAAAAGAGCCTCCTGTGACATCAACATGCAGGGAATTCAAACACAATCCCAACTCAAAATTTGGACAGAAAAAAAGATTAAAAAAAACTTCAGAAGGATGGAAATGGGTCATCTGTCAGCCACCAAACACAGGAGACTCAGACAAGGGAACAAAAGGGGAACTGAAAAACAAAATGATGGAAGTGGCTTGGAGGTGTTGGCGGTGGCTGAATGATGGACACATTAAAACGGGAGCGGTGGAGCTCCTGATGGGATCTTACTTCTGCTGGGGGAGTTCCAGAGTGTGGCCGAGGACTTGGAGAGTCGCTTGTTTATGACTGAGTCCACGTGTTTGGGCAGGTTGACCGCTGAAACTGAGCATCTGCCTGAAGAGCCAAGAGAGCGCCACATAGGGGTTCACACAGGTCACATGGCTGAGAGGAAGAACGCGTGACTTACATCCAGATGAAGGGAACGCCTCAGTTCAGAGGCAGCAGCGGTGATACGTGGCATCGAGGCTAATGTAATGGTGCCACGTTTCCACTGAATTCCACAGTTAAAAATCTGTTTAGCTTCAAAACGCATTTAACCCTCTGAAAGGCACCCACTGAGAATCCTGACAATGTAAAGGTTTGACTCTTGAATGTTATTTAAGGGCAATTTACAAATTTCTAGTTGGTTTTAGCATTTCTTCACTTGTTAAAATTGTACTATTTTGCTTCGTTTTGACTTTTTTTTTTTTTACTTGTTTCCCTTTTGTCAATTATCTGGTTTGGACAGCCAACTAAAACTAAAAGTTGAGTGAAGTCCCCGTTTCTAAACAATCGAGTCCGCTCTGAGCAACTGCTACATGGTACATGGCAAGTGAGGACGAGTCATACACAGTGAGTTGATAAGTGAATAATATCGAGTTATCCACTACACTCATTGCGGTAGTTTGTCTCCGACATTACAGGAAGTGTTGTTTTTTTATCGTCTTGCTGTTAGCTTGCTGTTATAATTCTGAACGACTTATTAAAGGAAGTAAAACGCTACATTTGACTCAACGTTCACTTGACACAGACATTTCACTGCAATATCAAGTTGTTGGTAATTGAAAATGTAGCTTGAGATATTTTTAGAGCCAATTATTTGCTTTTAATTCATCATTAGCATTGTTAGCTCAACGTTAGCCTCTAGTCTTCTTTACCCAATATCAGAATAAGACAAAAGGATACAGTTGCTTCTTAGGGGTGCAAGAAATAACTTCTGGGTCGCTCCTTTTACTGGCTTCCACTTTATTCCAAAAGGCTGTGGCTTTTTGTCAGCCAGCGCTGAATTACGAATGCTGGTGCAGCAGTGTCTGCCGTGCAGGCTCAAATAAAATTGGCTCTGGAACCAGGAAGTATGGAGGCGGGACAGACTGTAAACAACAACTACGTTCCATTTTAGCTTTTTTTTAAAGGAGAAAAACTAACAACACCCCAGCCAGCTGACAAGGAAATCTGTTTCAATTAATCTTCTGTCCATCATGATTGAGGCAGACTGTTATTTCACAGTAAAATTCTCACTTATTGCACCTTTAAAACATGCTCAATAAAGGGTTAATGCAACAATTCTTTGCAGTGGCTTATTAAGGTAAACTTGATCAACAACTTTATTAGGTAATGCTGTAAGTGTTCAAAAACACTAAGTGGTATAGAACAAGCCATTAAAATAGTGATATGCCAGTCATGAAGTGGAGAAGACAAACACAAACGCTTTAAAACTATGTTAACATCCAAAGAAGGGAGAGAGGTGTATTAAAAGACAAAACAAACCCATTTCATTGGCTACAGAAACTGGCTAACAGGATACATTTTTTATTCTTCCGTCCATTCATTTGTAATGGCTGCACATTTATCCTCAAATAGATGTAAATCAATGTATTATTCTCCTTCTGGCAGGAATCTATGTACAATAAAGCCCTTTAATGAATGAGACGGCGCATAAAAGTCTCTAGTTTGGTACTAAAATCCAGATGATGACACTAGATGGTCCTTTGACACAAACCTGAAGAACAGAATAAAAGCATTTTCTAAACTAAAATCCACGTCTCCCAACAACTTTCCTGCACCATATTTATATTTTTACTAAAAAGCTTTCATTGGCAGGAACAGCCGTCTGCTGAAGGAGCGACGTGGTCAATAACCTTCCTGGTAGAGATGATCACATGGTGCATAATGGAGTAGAGTGTAACGGAATGAAAAGACTGTTTTCCACCTAAAAGTCATTTTCCCCCTCTCCTCAGCAAGAAGTAATCTGCATGAGATATGACTGTAAGATAAGACTGTTTTCCTTTCCAGGGCAAGAGAAGAATGAAGACAAAGGACTCTTTCTTTTAATAAATCAAAGAACTCTATTTTTAACAAAGCTAATCAAACAAAGTGTTAATCAATAATAAAATGTGAACCAATTTGTGAAATGAAAATATTAATTACTTGATATTATAATTCTGCAGAATATAATTAATAATATAACTTTAAATGTTTCCACTAGAGACTGATCACACATAAGGTTAAGCCACATCACACATTGCTTTTACTGATCCAATCAGAATCTGCCAGATCTGACGGAGGCGTGGTTTTGGTGATGCTTGGTAAATCTGTCATCTTTTCATTCGACCATAAACCGAAACATCCGAATTATAAAACTATACCCACGTCGTCTTTAACGCCAGTTCAAGCGTTCTAGAGAAGTTGTCGGAGTGGCCAATCCGTAACTTTCCTCTTCAGCCGAAAGAACCAACGACAAGCTGGATAAAATCTGTTGCTGTTCCAACTGCTGCAACGATTCCTTTCAGAATAAAAGCTGAACCATCACGACCCCTTTTGAGTCTTGCTAGATGCCAACAAAACTGTCGTGACCCGGAAGTATCTCAAGACTGGACTGGTCGGCGGCCGCGGCTGTTCTACAGGCTTCGGCTCCAGAAAGGTCCAAGCTGGACCTCGACACCTCCTGATCTAGACGGGGACTTCCGCCAAGGGTATGTAGACCGACAAAATGGCGTCTTATGTGTTTATGAATCTCCAAATCAAAGCTTAGCGCGAAGACATCACCTTCACTCCCATCAGAACTAATCGTTTCTCCGTATTTGCTGGTTCTGAACAACATTCCACACTACACCATTCTCCGTCTCAGTTCACCTTAGTTACACCATACATTTAGTGTTTAAAGTTAGTCTAGTTTAGTTAGTGTGTTTAGTAATAAATCTTTAAACTTTTAAAACTTGACTCTCTTTCTTTTGTCTCTGAGTTAATATGAAGTGTTACATAATCCCTGCAATAAAAAGTTCCAATCTTCTGGTTTAAAGTACCCAAAGATCCATAAGATTGATTTCATATTTATTATGGAATCTCATGTCTTATGGTTCATTAAATAGATGTAAAATTAACCCTTTACAAGAGGAAAGTTCAGATTCATGGGCTCGACACACGGGAGGCGACATCACCTCTCCTCCATTCATATTCAATGAGACATGAGCGACAAAGCGATAATAGCGGGTCTCCCTCCTACTAAGCGAAACACAAAAAACGTGCGTGTGAAATTTTGCGCTTGTGCACGTGTCGTGCAAAGGCGACCCAGCGATGTGATCCCAGAAAGTTGAAATATTTTCTACTTTTCATCGCTGTCGCTCAAACGAGGACCAATCAACGGAGGTTTCATTCACTGACCAATGAGCGGACAGGATGCTCCGTACATCTCCGAGCAAACATGAAGGAGAAGTTGATTATTATTATTATGTTTTATATAGTAAAATCAGAAGTAAGATTTCACATAACTCTAGCAGCACCTTGTGAAACATCATATCTACCACTTTATTAACTCTTAAATAAGCTTAATTCCCTCCAACCTGACACAGCCAATCAAAACAAAACAGAAGTTTCGATTTCGCCATGGAACGGAATGCGTAGACTGCTTTGCCGCGGGTCGCCTCCCATGTGTCAGGTAATAAAAGCGACAGCGACGTATTTCGCTGATCGCGGTCGTTTGTCGCCTCCCGTGTGTTGAGCCCCTTAAGCTTGAACTTGGGAGGATTTGCTACAAATGCAACCCTCAGACGGCTCAATATCATTTTAACTAGGGATGACCCGTTCAGGTTTTTATTTCCCTCGAGTCAGAGTCATTTGATTTTGAGAATCTGCTGATACCGAGTCCCGATCCTATGGAGCTAGGATTGGGACTATATTCAGCGTAACTTGTACCAAGTTTTGTAATTTCGAACATGTTTCATCACATGTAACTTTGGATTCGTAACTTGTAATTCTCAATTTGTACTTGTATTTCTTGTTTTGTAACAGGAAATTTTCATTTTGTACATGTATTTTTTATTTTGTAAAATCAAACTTATTTTGTACATTTACTACTCATTTTGTAACATCAAACATTCATTCAAAACATGAAACTTTCGTTTTGTAACTAGCAGACTTCCAAATTGAAAAAAATCAAGGTACAAGTTTGAAATCAAAACTCTCAAAACACACATTTCATTCTACAGGTACAAACCTCAAATCCACAGTTACGGATCTTTTTGTCTCGATTCTAGAGTCAGTGGGAGGAACTTGGGTGGAACAGTTACAAAATAAAAAATAGTTGTACAAAATACAATGTTCCTGTTACAAAACAAGAAATACAAGTACAAATTGAGAATTACAAGTTAGAAAACTAAAGTTACAAGTTACGAATCCAAAGTTACGTGTGATGAAACATGTTCGAAGTTACAAAACTTGGTACAAGTTACGCTGAATATTGTCCCAATCCTAGCTCCATACGATCCGATTCTTTCGATACATAAAAACAAAGAAAGAAAAGGAAGAAACAGTTCCACAATGTTCCTTACTTTTTATTTAATTACCTTTTTATTTTAATTTTTAACAACAGATCACTTCTGTGAGGTAGCTTGAACAATCAAGTAATAAATAACGAAAATTCTTCACTTTTGGACTTGATTGCAAATATAAAAAGTCTAATATAAAAACAGATAGCACTTCAACCTAAAATACCTGGCAGGGGTCTAATTTGCCTCGGCCCCCAAAAGGCTTAGATACGTCCCTGGGACGGAGTTTTGAAGATGATCTGAATTGTAACAACTATATAAATACTACATGCTGATAAATTATTGTTTTATACAGGTATAAACATTTAGTGAGATAAATCTACCTAGATTTTATTTTTTTAAGAACTTTGTTTTGTTTTCTTGGTTTTTATTTTCCTGTCTTCCTGTCCTGTCTGTCTCTGATCTTCCTGCATCTCCCAGTCCTCCAGAAACACTCCTGCCTGCTTCCTTCGTATTCACCTCACAAGTAACTTTTTAACCAGCAGATCAAATTAATCTACTGACCGCAAAAAAAGCGGAGCGCATTCACACGTCATGCTCAAATACAGACAGAACTTACCAGAGAGAAAATGAACGGACACAATTGACTGTGTGTTAATTATACATTTTTTGGTGACGTCACTTCGAAACTTAGAAAATGTTACTGTGGCTGTGTGCAGAACGCAGCTGGAGTTCATGAATAATCAGCGGTCTGCCTGCTGCACTGCTCAAAAGAATCCCCGCTACACTGAGTCCATATAAATAATATAAAATAGGTAGAAACTGGATCTTTGTTGTGCTCCTTCTGGGTGTGTAAGTTAAGGGCATCAGGGGAGCCTGACGACCTTTAAGGAGAACCAAGATGCTCTCCTGTAATTTGAGCCCAGTATCCGAGTCCGGATCGGGGCTTGGATAGGGAAGTAAAGCCCGAGTCCAGGTCGAGTCTGAAACCACGTGATCGGGGCCGATTTCCAAGCATGTGATGGGATCGGGACATCCCTAATTTTAACCCAATTACAAACGTGGCACAGACGTTTTAGATCGATGGGCTCAGAATAACGTTTATTAAAGCAAAGAAGAATAAAGCTTTGTTCCAAGCGGATGTGACCAATAAAAACCTCTAAACACGTTTTCACCTCGTCATTAGTTTAGTCCAGAGAGGCAGAAAAGCCCTGAAGGAATGTTCAATGTAAAATATTATAAGCTGAGCCAAACAACCGGCTGATTTAAGCAGCAAAAACTGAAATAATTTAGAAGTACAAGATGATCATTTTAGGCAGCTGTGCTTTTCTAATTTGTAATGAGACAAAACTCAAAAATACTCCTTGCAGTTTTGCATTTGGAAACATTTCTGCTTTTCAAGTAGCTTTTAGGTTTTTTTTAAATACAATAATAGATGCATTACATACACGACGAGCCAGTGAAGAGAATTAAATACCACACAAAACCTGTAAAAGTACTTTTGTGATGATCTTTATCCGGTTAAAGACAACATGACTCACCTTTCTGGCTGGAGCTGTGGTTTAGCGCACCGGCCAGTGATGATCTCTGCTGCCGGATTTCTGCCCACGTTTTCTTAGTTGACCTGTGTATGGCTGCCTCGTAGCGCTCCTGCCAAGCACACGAACAGATCTTTTACAGATTCTGCAGCCAATACGCAGGAATATGGAGGATGCCATTTATTTGAATACGATGGAATAAAGTGGCTCAAGTGTCCCCGAGTAAAACCAAATCCCTCCATCTGCAGCTGGCCCAGTTCATCGCAGTAAAGATGGGGGATTATTAGGGAGCCTGCCTACGAAATACAAGGGAAGAAAGTACTTTCAGCCTCTATTTTACTTCACCAGAGAAAACAGTCTTTTTATAGCTTTACCATTCTTCTGTATACATTAACGGAGGCGTGTAGCCACATGTGACATCAAAACGACTGGCTCAGTCGTGGGAAGTGTGGTATTACTTTTCTTAGCGCTTCTAGTTACCATGGAGGTGTTATCAAAAAAAAACTACAAAAGTGAGCTTTCTCATTGGAAAACATGGAGAAATTGAATGGATTTTTTATGACCCTTTTAGGCCCTGTCCACACGTAGCCGGGGATCTGCCAAAACGTAGATATTTTTCTATGTTTTGGCCTGTCATCCACACAAAAACTGAGTTTTTTCACACGAAAACGTATCTTTTTAAAAACTCCGGCCAAAGTGAAGATCTGCGTTTTCTCCGTTTTGGGTGTATGCGTGTGGACGGACAAAACCGGAGTTTTAAGGTCCGCAACGTCACTTTCCACGACAAAAAAATGCTGACATCACGTGTGTGACCTGTGTTTACACTAGCCGACAGCATGGATGCCCTCAGAGCTGCGCTCGCTTTATCAATTGTCCAAGCGCTTTTTGCTTGTTTGTTTTTGCAAGCGGAATTACTGCTCCTTGCGGAAGACCACAGACGAAGGACGAGGTTAAGAATGGGGGAAGTACTGCTGCCTACAGGTCTGGCATGTCCTTCACAACGTATTTATCCGGGTACGTGTGGACAGTTTTTTTTAAAACGAGGTGGTGTGGATGCAAGTTTTTGGAGGGGCGGATATTCGTTTTTAAAGAAACCCGGCTACGTGTGGACTAGGCCTTAGTCTTTGAGGGCGTAATGTATAAAAGCCATTTGGCCTAGAGATGTCATTCAGTTTAAATAAGTCACAATTGAGGGGGTTATAACATAATAAAGAAGGTTTTTCAAGGCAAACTTCCTTCAACTAAACAAAGACGAGACTGAAGTTATTGTCTTTGGCAACAAGAGGGATAGAATAGATGTTATTGGTCAGCTAGACTCCAGGGGAATAAAGACAAAAACCCAGGTTAGAAATCTTGGTGTTATTATTGACTCAGACCTGAGCTTCTCTGGACACATTAAGGCTAAAACTAAATCAGCGTTTTATCACCTTCATCAAATACCAAGAGTCAGAGGTCTCATGTCCAGACCAGACTCAGAGAAACTTATTCATGCTTTTATTTCTAGTCGACTGGATTACTGCAATGGTCTCCAAACTGGTCTTTCCCAAAAAGTTGTGAAGCAACTGCAGCTTGTTCAGAATGCTGCTGCTAGAGTCTTAACAAGAACTAAGAGAACGGAGCACATCACTACTGTTCTTAGATCTCTACACTGGTTACAGTAGACTACAGAACAGATTTCAAAGTGCTACTACTAGTATATAAATCACTCAATGGGATGGGACCAAAATACATGTCAGATCTCATTCCTGTATATACGCCTAATAGGGCTCTGAGAGCCCTTGGAAACAATCAGCTGGTAGAACCTCGGGTCAGAACAAAACAAGGTGGAGATGCTTTTAGTTACTATGCTGCTCACGTATGGAATCAGCCTCCCCTTGACCTCAGAATTGTCCCAACTCTAATGTTGTTTAAATAAAAACTAAAAACCCTAATGTACTCATCAGCCTTTAAATGAATTGTTTCTTATGCTGCGTCGTCTCCACTGTAATCTGTGATGTAACTTTGTCTTCTCCTTTAGCTCTAAACTGTAATTCCATTTGTGTGTGTGTGTTTTAATTTGTGTTTTTATGTGTTTTCAAATCATGTCCTGATAATTGTAAAGCACACTGAATTGCCTCTAAGTGTGCTCTATAAATAAAGCTGCCTTGCCTTTTTGACATCTCGTACAGTTTTTATTTGTTGTTTTTTTATCAAGTTTTAGTTTTGAGACATTTCAGACAAAGTTCACAGAATTTAAATTGGAGAAAAAAAGGACAGCTTCGCCTCCTTTGTTGGGAAAACTGCAGGTCACATCAAAATGAAAGTTGCGCTGCTGACAAAAACCACTAATTTCATGCCCCATCCAAACTATCAGTGGGAATTTTCTAGTTGAAACTACTGAAGCATTAGATAAAAGGTACGACTTTGACCATAAGCGGTTGTTTTCTTATGTAAACCTACTTTGTTCTTCTCAAGTTTCTGTTTTTGCCTTTCCTCCAAAGCTGCTCGGCGTTTTTCTGCCTTTATCCGCTGCTCCTCCAGCTTCCTGCGGCGTTCTTCTAGCTGCTGCTCCCTCAGCTGCCGGGCCTTCTCCTCCTTCTCCAGCCACTGGGTCTTTTTGGCCGCTAAGAACAGAGACAAAATAATTTTGTTTTATAAATACAAATCAACACTAGGCAGTGGAATGTCCCGTTTGAATATCAGTTTGGGATCTTATTTGAGTTCAAGTGCCAAAATATTAAAAGCTGAAACATAGGGCTGCAACAACGAATCGATAAATTCGATGAAAATCGATTACTAAAAGCGTTGGCAACGAATTGCGTCATCGATTCGTTGTGTCGCACAACTCTTCCAAAAGCGCCCCCCCTTCCCGCCCGCCGTTGCGCGCAGACCAGAGCAAGTCATCAGCGCGAGGGAGAGCCGCAGATCAGCGCGAGGGAGAGCCGCAGATCAGCGCGAGGGAGAGCCGGCAGATCAGCGCGAGGGAGAGCCGCAGATCAGCGCGAGGGAGAGCCGCAGATCAGCGCGAGGGAGAGCCGCAGATCAGCGTGAGGGAGAGCCGGTACAGGCAGATCAGCGCGAGGGAGAGCCGGCAGACTTGAGCTGCTGCGAACCGGTTCCGCATTGTTGCACAGCGATCCAGGCAGCTGCTTCCAGCGCACGGTCCATTCTCAAAGTGGCGCAACCAAAAAACTATAATTAGCACACGATCGTTCATGTCCGCACATGTTCTCTATTTTCTGTCTTATTTGTGCCTGAAGCGCGCTACTGCGGAGCTCATCACCTGTGCTGCGGTGATTTCACCTCACGCAGCATCGAAAACGCGCTCTGCGCTTTTCGGTCAGGAGATCCCTTTGACCTGCTCAAAAGTAACTGATGAGGTGAAAAGGTAAGAATCCAGGCAACAGATTTTCTGGAGAATTAAGAGGAGATGCAGGAAGATGAGAGACAGACAGGACAGGAAAATAGTTCAATAAAAACAAGAAAACAAAACAAAGTGTTGAAAAGTAAAATGTAGGTAGATTTATCTCCACTACACGTTTTTACCAGTAAAAAACAATAAGTTATACACATGTCATATTTATACATCTGATACAATTCAGATCACCTTCAAAACTCAGTCACACACCCAGGGCCGTTTCAAGACATTTTGGGGGCCAAGGCAAAATGCCCCCCCCCCCCCCCCCCCCAATAACTGGGCTCCCCAGAAGCCTCTGTGTAATTCATGCCCTCTCCAGTAGTGTTAGTTATACAGTGTTTATAAAAGCCCCTCAGACATTACTGACATGCTCTAATATTATCAGATGAAAAACTAAATTATCAGACATGCTGTCTCATCTGCTTATTTTATAAACTTGCAAAAAGTAACAAAACCATTTGAAAGCCACTATTTGTGGATTCTCTGAAAGTTTCCATGGAGTGTGTGACAACTTATTTTTTCATTGATCCTATCGTCTAATCTCACAGTTGAAACAAGCATCCTTAATAATCTGTGCACAGGAAGCTTACCGATGCTGTAGTAAAACAAAAGGTAGTAATTTATTATTAATAAAACCTTGTTGCAACACTAAAGCAGAAAAATTAGATTTTGCATTAAATATGCAAAATATTTACATATGAATTGTTTTAGAGCCCTTTAATTGGCAGAATCTGATATTAATTTAGTTCTTACAAAAAATGGGTCCCAACATGGTTTGTGTGGCGTTGCCATAGTGTGACGTCATAGGCACAGATCCCCTGTCCTCTTGTTTGGAAATGGAAATATGGTCACCCTACATTAAACAAACTGTCCACCCGGGCTTTTGCACTGCACAGAGACGCTTCGCTGCCTACGACTGAACGTCAGTTGAGAGTCAGTCTCATGCAGACTGACCAATGAAGAGAGGGCCTCAAGTTAAGACCCTCTCCTCATTGGTCAGTCCACACGAGGTGGGTCAGAGGTTACTCTGGGCGGGTTACGTGTTGTCAGGCATTCAAGTATTGAGTATATTTACTGCATATTACAGTAAAATATTCTGTATGTGACCACATTATGGTGATCCTTGGGTCGTGATGATGGAGCCCTTGAATATTGTTGCCCAGGGTACAACAAAGTGTTAATCTGGCCCTGGTTCCGCCGTCACATTCCCGCAGAAACTGGTTGATCACACCGGGGCCAGACTACTAGCATGTGGTTTTACAACCACAATGTCCTCAGAAGCAAAAACGCTTTTAAAAGGGAGGGAGGAGTCCTAACTGTTGCTGCAGGCGTGTTGTGTGAGAGTGCAGTTATATACTGGCTAATATATTTTTGGGTTCAGTTGCTTTCATGTGGCCTAATGTGAGTCTATTTGGGATCATTGGAATGATCAGCAGCATTTCTTGATGTGACTTTATGGCAGTTGCCCAGGGCATCATCGCAAGGAGGATGGCATTCATTTACTTTTGTTTTATTTGGTATTTTTTCAGTCATTTTTGGAAATAGTGATCAATTTTGATAAATTCACAGCCTATGTTTAATTACATTTAAAATAAATGTCAACAGATGAGATCAAACAAAACAGATGAGAATTGCCCTTAAGCTGTTTAACTTGGACCAAGCATTTTAGGTCACAGATAGATGTAGCTTAGGGTCTCTGTCTATACACCTTATAAGACAATTTAGGTGATGGCATGTTGTTTTTCTGCTATTGAACTGTTTTCTAATAATGTTGTGTTAAATAAAGTGAAGGAAGGAGAGAAATAACGTTTCCCTAGCAGTTTTTAAAAATTTCCCCATGTAATCCGATTAATCGATTAATCGTGTCGAGACCCCATCCGATTAATCGATTATCCAAATAATCGTTTGTTGCAGCCCTACTGAAACATAAAAAAGGTTTACTGGCTTTTAGAAAAATCATGTTTGAAGTGTTATGAAAATGCTGATTTAGAAAATTACTACATTTTAAAATGTTGCTCCTTGCATATGACAACATTTTTATAGCTTACTTCATATTTTAATATATGAAAGAATTAGAGCCACCGACAATTTCAAAACACCAGCCCGGCTACATGAAATATTTGTAGCATCCATCCAGCAACAAAAAGGGAGTTTCTCTTGTGAATTTATGATGCACTTTTAACAAGACAGAGACATATTTAGAGATCTGATTATGTAGAAGTATTCAACCTTTACCGTAAACACTAGAAACACGACTGTTTGATAAAACCAGGAAGTCTTTTTAAGCTGATACTGTAAACACAGACTTTAGCAGGAGGTTCTCTTTAATGCCAGTCTGACGAGAGTATTAGGTAAGACCCACGCCATCTGGCGTGCCCCAGTGATCACCCAATTAGACTGATCCTCAGTTTCATCTGTGTCAAACAGATCTGGATTCACTCAGCTGGATTAGAAACCACACACACAAGATGTTACTGCTGGTAAAATGACTACTAGATAAAAACAGATCCACACTGTGAGAGGTGGCCTACGTAGGAGATCTATGAACATGTCATCAGCTCCACAGATGAACTAGAGACATCCCGATCACGTTTTACTCCTGATTCATTTGATTTTGAGTATCTGCCGTGGGGATGGGTACCGAATTCGGTACTTTTTAAGGTACCGACTGAATTCCATAGTACCGACTGAGCACCGATTCACTTCATTTGAAACGGTGCCTCGTTTCGGTACCCGTCCTTCACAACGAGAACTTGCCTAGACAGCTGCGCATGCGCAAGAGCGTTATGTCATCGCTCGCTGCGAGTGAGTTGTAAACAGAGCAGCATGGTAGAAAGAACGCACGCTAAAGCTTGGGTCCACTTCACTAAATGTGATGGGTAACTGGGTGATGATGAAACCAGCGATAACGATCCAAGTGAGACATCCTCATCTTAATCTGCTCCGGTAGGTAAATAAAATGTTTAAGATAATGTTAGCTTGATTTGTTAGCTTCCGTTTCACCAATAGTGCGTTCGCTTTCTCCTCAGAACTCCGAATTTCCGACTAGAACATCAACGCGCTTTTAAGTTTGGCTTCACTTTACTAAATGCGACGGGTGATTTGGTGAAGATGAAACCAGTGACAACGATCTAAGTGTGAGGCATCATTGTTTTAATCTGCTCCAGCAGTTAAATAAACTGTTTAAGATAACGTTAGCTTGATATGTTAGCTTCCTATGCCACCATTGTTATCAGCTAATGGTGCGTTCGCTTTCTCCTCGGAAATTCTAACTTCCCAGTAGGAAAAATCAATTGAAAAAGGACGGTAAAAGGAATGAAGATACACAGTAAATTTAGTTCACAGTAAAGATGTTTGCTTCAGTTTAATCATCAGCTTATAAAACTACAAGGACGATGTTAAAATACAAACAGTTGTATGTTATTTATCCTGATATTTATCAAATATGGTTATATATTGAGAAAAATATATATTTAATTATAAAAGAGAATTAAAAATTTTAAACACTCAAAAGTATCGAAAATTGGTACCGTTAAGTACCGGTATCGATTCGTAGGTACCGGGAATTAGTACCGGATCGATTCAAATGTCAAAGGTACCCATCCCTAACACCGAGTCCCGATTCAGTACTTTTCAGCTAAACTTTTTCTGTCCAAGTTTTAGTCCGAGTTGCTGCAGTGAATAGGAAATATTAGTAGCAAACTGGGACCAATAGACACAGAAGAGTCTGTATATTTTAGCGACGTCTGAAGGGAAAAGCCAAAAGATTGCTTTGAAGGTGGTGAATCACCACATTAAACGTCCAGTTTGCACACATTATAGGTGTCTGTTACACTCCATTTGATGTTCGGTTTTAAATACCACGTTAGCTCTGCCTTAGCCTGCTTGCTAATAGCTGCATGTTGGTGTCTGAACCCTGTCTGCCATAAACTGAGTGGCGTTCAGGTGTTGTCCAAGAAACAAGTAAAAAGGACACAAACAAATTAATGAATATGGGCATAGAGGAACTTGAATTAAAACTCCATTTTTATTCCTTTTGAAAATCTATCTCAGGATGAATTTAGAAAGTCATGTTTGTTGTTTTAAAAGGTTAATTCCAATCTGTTCCACCCAATTCCAGTCCTTTTAAAATCCTATGATTGGGCCTGATTTCCAATTACGTCATTGGATCGGTGATCCCCAGTGACAAACCGTAGTTATTTTTTTTGTATATTTTCTTTTTAGCAACATATTCATTTATACAATTTCACAGCAAAACAAAATCTAGCTGTACATGTCCTCAAAAACCTCCAGCTTCTCACTAAAGACGGCAATCAGCCGGTCTGAGGTTTGTGCTTCCAGCTTATCTTTTAGAGCTTTGTGGTCTACAGCTGGAACAATGAAAAGTTCACATTCAGGTCAGACTTCAAGTTTGTTTCATAGTTTTTTTCTACAGCTTGAGCATCAACAAACACCTGCAAAAGATGGTTAAATGATAAGTTGGCGACATGATTACTCATAACAAAAGGAAGATGTTCGTAGAGATAAAATGCAAAAATTAGATGAATTTGGCATTAAGAGATAAAAGAAACCCACATTCATTAGAAGAAAAGAGAAGAACAGACTGAAATGAATGGAATAGTCTTAGGGCTGGGCAAAAGTCACCAACACTGTGTGCATGCTTAAATAAATATTACATAAAAAGTTTAAAAAACACATCCTACAAAAAATTTTCTTTTTTTTAAATCTACATTTTGTTTTAGGACAGATATAGCACCTGTGGTTTCTTGCTTCACTTTTTATTATCCCATTTTGAACAATAACAATGTAATGACGAAGGTCTTGGTGCGTTACCCAGCTCTAGGCAATACTGCTCAACTTGATTAAGTGAAGACGTTCACAATAAAATGAGTGATTAAAAAAAAAAAAAGAGGGTTCATCACCACCACCACCACGTAGACATGGGTGAGTGGCTTACCTTGCAGTTTGCTGAGCTCATCTGCAGGAGGAAAACATGAGAAAAGACAGAGGCAAATGTCAATCATGCAGAGCAGTGCACGACAGGCGTGGAGCCGGGCGATAAGTAGCAGCTGTGTGTTCAACCAAATGTTTAAAAAGTAACGGTGTGTTTTAAAAAGCTGCTGCAAATTAAAAAGTTAGTTTTACAACTCAGTGTTGCTGCATTTAACAGAAATTTAACAACAATTAGTGACAGTTAAATGGTATTTTGCAGCTTGCAGAATCATGCAGAAAATTGTAGGAAAGTTTTTCCTAATTGTCTGTGAAACTCATGCATGGTGTTTGCAGCCCAGTGTTAACACAAGAAATAACATCTCCCACCCCAACACCAGGGGGAGCTCTTCTTCTGGTTTATTGTGCATGGCTACCACATTTGTTTCCACTCACCCAGATATTTTGCCTTTTCCTCCCGGCGTTCCTTTGCAAGCTTCTGCCTCTCCTCCGACTTTGTGACGTCTGAGAAGAGAATGAATCATGAGTGAAGGGTAGAAACTTGTGTCGTGGAATCCTGGGAATTTGTGCAGAAAACATTTTTAACTAGTTACAGCTTCTGTAGTGCATCCTGTTTGAGCACAACAGATGCAAATTTTCCTTAAATGCAATTTAAGTCATGTACAGAAAACATGACTGAGCAAACAATGTCTTTTACCGTTCAGTTTTCCAAAGGCTTTAACTTGAAATGCTTGCACAAGAAAACACGCCACAGGACAGTAAACTGGCAATAATCCAACATCAGTCCTCAATCTAAGATAGGGAAAAATTAAACTAAAGAATCCAAAAGCCAAACCCCTTTCCCACAAAGGCTGCAGCAAAAGCCAAACACCAGATCTCTGACACTACCTTGATGTGGGTCTATGTTTGACTTAAATATTTCACCTCTGTAGGGAAACACGTTATGAGGTCTCACTGGTCTCACACACACATTCCTACCAAATACCACAGAGGGAGTGAAAAAAGGAGCAGCAGCAGCGGATACCAACATCATTTCAAGAATTTAAACCAGATCTAGCATAGAAACAAGTTGACTCCAAATTGTTTCTCTAATAAAATTAATTGAACCACTCTACTTCCAATTTGGAAGAAATACCTACAATAAAGCAAAGAAATTTAAACGTATCCACAAAACGCCTGAATAATTTCAATCACTGGTTTGACAAAAAAAAAAACAGGAAGATATTCTGCCCAGATTTAATACAGGAACCGTGCCATCCCTCAACCAGAAGTTTTGGATTCATTTACCTCGAAGCCAGAGTCCTTACTGTGCATCAAGACCCTCAAGATTTCAGTAACACTTCTCACTTCTACTGGTTGAAAGCAGAATTACAACTGTAGTAAACAACCTAGCCACAGCAGGATGATGTTGCACTAGCAACGCTAACATGATCCAATTGATACCAAAAAAGTCAAGGATTAAAACAATCCCCCATTTTTGACAAAAAATATGACTTAGTACAGTAACAACAAAGCCAGGTCACTATCAGTCCCTGATTTAGTAGCCTCCTTTGAACTAGTGTAGTTCGCGTTGATGTTCACTCTAGTTTTAGCTCTTTGCTTCACCTCCAGAGACATTACTCACTTACTTTTACTTCCAGGCTCCGCCATGATGCAAACAAAGAAAAATCTAAATTATTCTTCTTGTGCTTTTTATTGATGGTTGGCAAACTGAAAAAGTTAACTGCTAGCCTTTATATTAGCTACCAGGGGTCTCATTAATCAAACGTTGCGTAGAATCCTTACTAAAACCGTACTTGAGCTCAGCGAAAAAAATATACTTACGCCAAGTAGGTTTGTGATCTATCAAACATGGAGTATGCACAGCTGCACGCAATCGCCGCTTCATAAATCAGAGACGAACGAGAAAGGTTCTCAGCTGCTTTTTAGTCACATCCCGCCCTCAACAAGTCCACTTACTGCCATAAATGGTCAATGCAAAGTGCCTTGTGGATCTCATGCATATACATAAGCCGGCTTGTTGCAGCATTTCGGTCGCGACCGCAGATCAAGGAAGCGCTATTTCACAAGCAGAAATTGAGGTACTTGTGGGTGAGGTGGAGAAAAAAAAAGAAGAGCATTTGCAAAACAAATAAGAGAAAATCCACGGAGTGGCACAGCATTGCTGAAGCTCCCAGTGCTGAGTTCTTCAGAGAGATCTGTGGCGGATATTAAAAAATGGTCCTATCAGGATTCGATCCCCAGACTCCCAGGTGAAAGTCACATGCCCTAACCAGTCAACCAAACAGAGATCTCCCTTGACCAAACAGCCAGTGCGCATGATCAATCGGGTCACAGAGACAGGACGCTCACACTGTCACAGACGCAGTACATTTTGTCTCAATCTGCCCCCCTGCTGACATTCAGCATTCCGTATTCTGCGCTTCAGGCTGTGTGTGTGTGTGTGTGTGTGTGTGTGTGTGTGTGTGTGTGTGTGTGTGTGTGTGTGTGTGTGTGTGTGTGTGTGTGTGTGTGTGCATGTGGGGGGTCTTGTTCTCTGTGAAAACGAAGCGGTACAAGTGATAATGCTGCAGGATTTCATAATTTTATCCTTCTCAGCAGCAGCACTGCAGGTGCTCTCCATGTCCAAAATGTGCGTAAGCCAGGTCCTTAGTCAACTTAAAGTTGTGCACATTTTTCCGCTAAGTTCTTTCATAAATCCCAAAGTTTGCATGGAAAGTTTCTCATGCAGTTTTCCGTGCCCGTTTTGTGCGTAAGCAAGCTTTATGAATGAGGTCCCAGTACTGTAAAGATCGATTGCTTTAATGCAGGTAGGGATCTCTCACTAGTGTTCCTACCTGAATCAAAAAAATGTTGAGCGCAGTTTCTGGTCAGCAGAGGGCTACAGAGTGCTGTCTGATGTGTAGTTGCTCAGGTTTCTGGCTAAAGAACCACTGAAACCAGTTTGAAAGCAATAGCTAAACATGTTAAATACTCTTTAGTGTTGCAACTGTGCAACAGAACTTCTTATTTCACTAACAATAAAGTAATCAATCAAAGTCAGTTAAATTAAATAAATTATTCAATATTTCTTTAAGAGGTCCCTCACTGAGTAGTATTTTTAACTCATCATTTTTGAAAATGATCGGTCAGTCTTAGATTTTCATTCAGGCTGAACATGAAAATAGTCTCCTACACTTATCTCCTGCATTAGTTTCTGATAGAAAATAGACTGTGAAACACTAGGATTTGAAATTCTTGACAGATCTACATCACACCATCACTTAACATTAGTGGACTCACCCATCTTGACTCGCGACAGGGATCACATTTGTTGGTTTAGCATCCAGGAAACAGCAGAGAGCGCCTTGGCTAGCACAAGCTAGCCATTAGCATTAGCAACTCCACAACAATCAGAGGCGAGATGTCCAAATATCAGGAAATAAGACTCTAAAACCATCTGAAGCTACATTCTCCTCTGGCTGAATTACCGTGCTGAAACAAGCTCACCGAAGCCCGCCCCCAGAGAACGAGTTACAAAGCATTTATTCTACTATAGGCCACTGCAAATGTATTTTAAAAATATGAGTGAAGGAGCTCTTTAAAAAAATAATAAATAACCCCACCATTGTGTTTTTGATACTCTGAAGCCTGCAAGCTGAATTTCTGACTGCATTTAGATTTTGTAGCACTTCTTTCCCTGCATCAGCCACAGATTCTACCACTAAGTAGGTTAGCCTTGAAATGGGAGCTGGGGCTTATTTACAGCTAGCACGTTAAACTGTTTCCACTGTAACAACGACTTTAATGCGGTCCCACAGTTGCAGATTCAGCAGTCGATGTTTGAGCCCGAATCGACAGACAGACCAGATGTTCTAAATCAAATATGGAGCAGCTCATCCTTAAGAGACATCCATCAGCAGGACGCATGACTCCTAAATGTTAAAAACAATCTGCCATGCAGCCTCCTGTAATAGCAACCTGTGACCCACTTTGATATTTATAGACAGACGGAGTGTTCGGTGTCTGTATGCGTGCTGATTGCACCTCACCGCCACAATAACGGCGGCATCACAAACACAAAACGGCCAACAAAGACAGATTTAATACAGGAACCGTGCCATCCCTCAACGAGAAGTTCTGGATTTATCTACCTCTAAGCCAGAGTCATTACTGTGCATCAAGACCTTCAAGATTTCAGTAACAAAATTCACTTGGCAGTTGGGAGATTATAGGGAAACGAAACAATCTGCACATCCCAGATAAACCACAAGCTTCATTGTTTCATTTCACCATTTAAGAGGTGAATTAGAGCATTAATCTCCGAAGAATGTGCAAACCTCAAAAGTAATGAGCGTTACGGAACAACTGGAAAATAAAACTTTAGATTCTGAAGAGTAAGACCATTAGCGCAGGATGTCTGGAGCCGGCTACAGAAGAACTGGACCTTGCGCTGCTGCAACTGTGGAAGCAGTGTGGGCAAACTTGTAAGGGGTTGAGGGGAATTACTGCTGCAATCCTGATGAATGGATTAATCGGATTAATTGGTAACAAGAAGGAAGAGATTAGAGAAGATTACACTTCAGAAACAATAAAACGTGTTCCTGTGGGTTTGTTTTCACTGTTAACCTGGGATTAAAGAGTTAAAGTGATGCTTTTCACGAAACAGTTAAAAGGTGCAGCAAACAGGTTCAACTAAACGCCCTCGTGGTGTTCCTGAACGACGTTCCTCTGACCAGACCTTTGTAGGAAAATGTGCATTGATTTGAATTTTAACACATTTATCTATATTAGAGACTTTTTTCACTACTAACCTGATTTACCTGAAAGTCTCAAGCTGCGTGTTGACAGTTTGTTTCACCACAACAGTCAATCAGCTGCAGCTCGTCTGAAAGCATGTGGTCACTTTTACTTTGAGAGTAGACCTGACTTTAGAAGAGAGCACCATTATCGAAGACCTGCCTCAAATCAGAACAACCCCAGCTTTTAGTGTTAGCTTTAAAACACTCAGGAGGACTGGGATTTATTGTTTACCTCTTTTGGGCTTGGGTGAAGCTGGTGATCCAGGCGACCGAGAGATGAGGTCAGACTTTGTCGGGGTGGTCAGCCTCTTACTGGGAGACTCCATCTTCTGGGTGTTGACAGTTTTTAAGGGGCAGCTTTCACCCTCTGGGTCGGGCCGTGAGAGGTTTGTTTTCAGAAGCGAGCAGGGTGCTGGTTGGAGAGACACAAAATGAAAAGAACAGGTGAGTGAATAAAGGGCAATGCGAGAAACGGAACTCAACTCGTTTCTCTTCATTCTATTCGCCGTCAAGTCCATGAAGCAGATCACTGTGTGGGTGACATCATCCATCTGAAATTTGGGTGGAGTTGTGGACTCGGAGGAAAAAAAATTCAACCGAATTTAAATGTAGTAGGTCTCATTTTAGCTCTCTAACAAAATAATAAAACCTAACGACTTACAAATCATACGACTGAAATAATTCTCAACAACAAATATAAGTAATACTGCGTAAGACAAAATGACTGCTGATAACAGTTTTTGTTTATTTTTAATGACTGTGTCTAAACACACAGCTTACTAGGGCAGACACAGAAAATGACATTAAAAATCACAATAATTTCTGGTCAAAACTTTCAATCTCATTCTTGTACTGTAACTCAACGGTGCTGGGTCTGTTCCTTTAGTCTAATCTCAATAAAATACTGATTTAGGAAACTATTCAGAGTTTAAATTTTAAGGAGACAGCTGGAACTGATGTACCTTAACACGCTGCTTCATTTATTGGTGATGAAAACCGATTAGAGAAAAAAGTAAGGGACTTAAATGAAATTTATACTAGAACAATCTTAACATTTGGTGTAAAAGCCGCAACTGTTTAATGTTTAGACCTATACAGGGGAAAAAATATATTTTTTTATTGCATTACTTTAAAACAATAGTAGACACCTACAAGTTAAACCTAACCTTCTACCTGACTTTACCTGAATGCATAATAAACATAACGTGGTCAGGCAGAGCTGCCATAAAAGCAGAGAAGAGACGCTACGGAAAGCGGGGAATCCTCTGCATAGAAATAGAACCGTAGAGTGCTGTGCACTGTCGTTTTAAACTACCACCACAATTCAATGAACTTTAGCCTTTGAAAGAGATGAAAAAATACATGATTATAATGGGAAAAAAAAGAAAGCAGCCGCCCCCCCCCCCCCCCCCCCCCACACACACACACACACACACACACACACAAAAGGGAAATTTAATAATCATTCTTTGACAACTGCATTATTTTCTTGTGTTAATCTGGAGCTAAAAAGTTTAAATTGACAATAACATCTGATCACACGCACAGCCCTGGAGTGAATAAGTAGGTTATACTTAATTTTGATGACAAACAACTCAGATAATCTAGTTTGTCTTCTCATTCATGCGTGATCTCTAGAAGTGAGGTCATTAGTTTGGGACAGCAGCTTCATTATGACTCACATTTTGTAGCAGTCTCCTGGACTTTAATCTCCTGCTCAAACATTAGTCTGTCTCAGCTCTGACTGCGGAATAAAGACGCTCATGTAAGGGGTACTTGACTTTGTCCACCAGGCCATATCCCAGCACTCCCCTTGGAGCCGTGTTGGGACGCATTTACTTCTGCATAGTCTCTGGGGGTAAACACTGGGGCAACGTGCTCCAAGTTGTTCAGGATTTGAGTCAAACAACTCAAGCAGTAGGGGGCTGTCACACGGGGACACAGAGTACACTAAAGATTTATTCCTCAAATGCTGTTTGTATAGAAAAAGCACAAATGAAGAGAAAGATCAATTCTACACGGCTTCAAAGTATTTTTTTTTTCTCTTTTGTGTGTGTGCTTGTTTATGTAAATTAGTCTGCTTTTATGAGTAAAACTATTAGGAGCATAATGCTCCAACTGGCCATCATCCTTCACTACTACAACAGGTGAAACCTGAAACCAACACACCCAATTACAAACACTCATATGGTAATCCTACATCATCAGTTTGGGAATCGTTTGCTGCTGCTGACTCAAGAGTCAAACCCCGGTGATTAGGCAGAGTCCATAAAAGTTTTCAGGTGGGAGACGAGACGTTGCGTTTCCATTGTCAAAGTCTGCCACTATTAAATAAGCATTCCCAGGCAGAGAGGGGCCACTGTTGTGGTCTCTGCATGGCAACGGGATGGCAGCCAAAACACTGCAATGACAGCAAGTAGAGAGAGGAAGTAAAGGGGGAGGGCGCGGTGGCGAGACGAACTGAGAGATGAACACTGGGAGCAGTTCTGTGCAATTTTCTAACAATGAGCAACTTTGTGTGGGGAAAATAAATCTGTGAGCAGAAACCAGTAATTAAATGGGCTTATTAGAAAGAAATACCACAAAACATCACGCTAAATTAACCTTTTTGTTTGTTTTAATCACAGATCGAATGTGCTATAAAGCCACGGTCCTAGTTTTTTTTTTTTTTTTTTTTTTTTTTTTTTTTTACAAATGAGTGATGCAAGACAACTGAAGGCATGACGCTACTCTCATTCAAAGTGATGAAACACACAACCTTCACCCGGAAATTTATCATCTTACACCGCTCAGGTTACAACTCTAGCGCTCAGCCCTGCAGTACCACATTAAGGCGGAACCACTTGGTAAATGTGGAGGACGCTCACTCTGACAGCTTTGGATGCTGCGCTAGTGCCGCCGTTAAAAAAACAAAACTACATTCCACTATAATCGATGATGGCGTACTCTTCTACGATGCAGAATCGTTTATGTCCGCATCCCGATGCATCGAGTTGATTATTTTCCTCAGCTCTATTCAGCAGTGCTTCGCCACATTCCCAGAGGAGCTGCACCCACTGAGAACTACAGCCAAAAACCATTAGTCCACTCTTCTGTGACATCATTTATATTATTCATATCCATAAATCAATGTGCAGCTACTTCCTCTAAAATGCAGGAGTCAACAGTCTGAACAGGGGAAATCACTTTACTGCAGCTCATCACTGAAAACCCATAGGAAACAAAATGCCCAAGACAAACAGGTCATTTCTTCACAAGCAGAACCAAATCGAACACAGTTTAATGTTTTACACAATGATGCTAAACTTTGTTTTATGGATCCTCTGAAAAATCTGCTTCTTACTATGACTTATGCCATTTTACGTGATTCTTTCTTTATAAAGACTTCTGCTTATCTTATGCATTTAGCTTTTGTGTAATTTCTATGTCTGTGTGGAAAAACGTGAAAGCTTACAACAAAAGCCATCTTCCTGTATAATGAATTGAAAAAGTCACATAAATCCCAACAAAGTGTTGAAGAGTGAGTTTTAAATGTCCCTGTGTGGCTTCTGCAGCTGGATGTGTCAGGTTAAGACTGACGAAGGTGATGAGGTAATCTGTAAAAGCCAGCTGAAATGGTAAACGAGCCCCTGCTGTGTTGGGTGGATGCACGCATGCCTGAGCACAGTGTGAGGGCCAAATGGCAGGTTGAAAATCAGCAGGTAATTAGCACAACCCGGTGCCATTTCTCACCTGGGCACTTGGCAGGTTGGAAAAAAGAAAACCTGTAAATGCAGTAAATGTTGATTTTAAAATTTTTTATTTTTTTTTACTAAACTATCTAGAACTTAAGCATTGGCTTGGTGACATAATGGTTAAATTGGCCAAGTGAAAACTGGGACAACTAGTTAATCTGCCGCACAAAATGAGATTTAGCATAAATCCAATTTCACAGCATATTACTTAGATATATAAATACCCATACAGCAGAACTGGAAAAAAATTTCATGTTAAACATCATGTTCATAACTGTAGGCGACTAGAGCTCTTTTGGTTTATTTGTTCTGAAAATGTTTTTAACAAATAATAGGCATTCAATACTAAAAATGAATACATTACCCAGGAGAGAAGGTGCATGTACTTGAAATAAGAGTCAAACTGTGTTAAACTGTGGCTCTAAGACCCTGGGTCTGAGGTCAGTGGACTCACTTCCATCCACCTTGTATGTTTTTCTTCTTTGTTTTCTTGTCATTTCTGTTTATTTGTTCCCCTTGTTTTTGATTGTGAAGCACCCTGTGACCTTAAAGGTGCTATAAACCTTACCTAACCTGAAAACCACTGTATCTTAAGCCTAGTTTATAGATCCCCATCAGTAAGTTAGCACTCACATGTACACGTTTTGACAAACACGTTTTACTTTTATATTTCTTGTATGAAGAAGACATTATCCGGTGGTGCGTCAGTGTTACGAAGTTATTCTTCACCAGGACAGCAGAGGCCGAAGACCATTTCTGGCGGGTCTGCCTACCATTGCAGTGCCAGTGATGTCTTTGGTCGACGTCAGTTTATTTACTTCAGCTTGTAAATGCGAATATCTTAAAGTAGGTGGGAATTTGAATTGAAATTTAAGATCCCTGTGTTCTTAATTTGTTAAAGTAACAACAGAGTGGGGATGGGTACCGAATTCGGTACTTTTTAAAGGTACCGACCGAATTCCATAGTACCGACCGAGCACCGATTCACGTCATTTCAAACGGTGCCTCGTTTCGGTACCCGTCCTTCAAAACGAGAACTTGCCTAGACAGCTGCGCATGCGCAAGAGCGTTATGTCGTCGCTCGCTGCGAGCCAGTTGTAAACAGAGCAGCATGGTAGAAAGAACGCACGCTAAAGCTTGGGTCCACTTCACTAAATGTGATGGGTAACTGGGTGATGATGAAACCAGCGACAACGATCTAAGTGAGACATCCTCATCTGCTCCGGTAGGTAAATAAAATGTTTAAGATAACGTTAGCTTGTTAGCTTCCATTTTGCTAATGGTGCGTTCGCTTTCTCCTCGGAACTCCGAATTTCCGACTAGAGGAAAACGAACGCGCTCTAAAGTTTGGCTTCACTTTACTAAATGCGACGGGTGATTGGGTGAAGATGAAACCAGTGACAATGATCTAAGTGTGAGGCATCGTTTTAATCTGCTCCAGCAGTTAAATAAACTGTTTAAGATAACGTTAGCTTGATATGTTAGCTTCCATTGCCACCGTTGTTATCAGCTAATGGTGCGTTCGCTTTCTCCTCGGAAATTCTAACTTCCTAGTAAGAAAAATCAAATGAAAAAAAGACGGCAAAAGGAATGAAGATACACAGTAAATTTAGTTCATAGTTAAGATGTTTGCTTCAGTTTAATTATCAACTTATAAAACTACAAGGACGATGTTAAA